ACCATTTAAATGCTATCGGTTGAATCTTTTATTACATTTTTACTATGCCTGCTTTAAGTGCTTTATAATAATGGTAATTTACGGCTAATATTGGGGTTAGACAAATTATGGGATCACGATTACGATTACGTTTACGATTTTATCTAAAACAATAATACTAGTTTATTGGCAACCAAAAACGGTTAATGATAATGTAAATAGAAATTTTTCTATATCGCATATATATATTTTGCAATAGCATTTTGTATATTTTGCTTGCGGATATGTCTGTGTTATTTACTACGCCTTAATGCCAGAAATTAAAATGCTGTACCGATGCCATTTGCCAGCGTCAACATCGTCTGGAGTCTAATTTTAGCCTGTCTTTGGCCTCAGACCCCTTGAATTCAAGATCCCTTGGATAGGCTGTGTGCCTGCTACTGTCTCTACTTGTGTTTTTGGTTTTTGTGGGGTTAAAATACACGGACAAATATTTTAAAGAATTTATTATTCAATTTTATATAAATTTTATAAAAAAAGTGATGCTATACAAGGGGTATATTTAATAATATCGATGAAGTAACGATATAAACTTTATATTATATACAATAAATCTATATTCTGTTTGATATATCGGTTTAAAATAATCGGAAAAAATTACAATAAATGCAATACGATTTTTTGTTCCAAATTATCGATATAGTTTATTGATTGATGCTGTATGCAATCGATAAATGGAAGTGATATATAATTTATCAGATCAAGATCATCTGAAAAAGGAACAAATAGTTTAAATATGATTTTTATCGATTTATTTATCGACATATTTAATAGTTTACTTTGATATTTTTTGATATATAAAATGTCCTCATATAAAAGTTTACAATATTATTTTAAATATTCTATTGAAACCGATATTTATTATTTATCGATATATCAATAGGTCTTTTATTTTCGATATACAACCCTAGTGGGACTTTTAAATATCTTATAATCAACATGTAACTCAATTTCCCCCTTAAACAAGGCCCATTTCCGAGTTGCAAAATTAGTTTTAAGATAGAATATTTTTTTCTCTCTGTAAAAAACAGAACCAGTCGTCAAATGCACAGCATGGGGTGTCCCGCTTCAACGGCATTTCAGGGAAAAAGCAAAAGGGAAAATAAACACACAGAAAGCAAAGAGAAGTAGGATAGGAGACGGAGGAAACTTTATTAAAGAGGTAGCCAGAGCTGCCGGGATGGACGAGAACACACTCCATACACAATTACGACAAATCCACAGCTCTCTCTTGCCCAGCTTCCCAGTACTCGGTACTCGAAATACCCCATCCTTCCGCCGGGTGATAATGCGAACGAACCCCAGACAGAGGGAGAGAACACCCGGTGCAGGGGATAAAAATAGAAGGCTGAAACTGCAGAAAGGATATTGTAGCAAATGGAAGGAGGCATCACTCCCAAGTCCAAAAGAAACTCAAAGATAAAACGAAGCACAAGCGGGGAAAATGAAGAGCGAAAACACGGGAAAAACCGGGGGAAAAATCTCTGCTGCTGTTGGTGCTGCTGCAGTAGCCATGTGTTGCATTTCAAAGTGTTGTTCTGAGTTATGGCTGAGGCTGAGGGGGAAAAATGGAAATGGAAAACCTCGAGAACACACAGGGCCTGCCAGATGAGACGACAAATTACAAGAAAGGCAACTGTACAGTGAGGCTGTGCACCTGCAAATCAATCAAACTCCAAGCTTCCACTAATTGGAACTTGAAAACTTGATATCCTGCCATAAATATTAATTGAAAGATTTGATTTATGGGTGTTGAATAGAAAATAAATGTCATAAACACTTGTTTGATAAGAAAATGTTACAATCTAAGCTGGAAAATGTCTTTTTCTTCATTTAAAAATCATAAAATGTGGCTTACATTTCTTGGCATTTGTGACAATCTCAATAGAATTTACTTCCGTGTTGTTATTTTGAAAAAAGCAAAAGCAATTGAGAGCAATTAATCTAGATTTGAGCAAAGGCTCTACAATCTTCTAAGCTGATTTCGTTCTTGATTTATTGGTCACACATTCTTGATTTATTTTATTTTCCTCCCGTAAACTATGTGTGTGTGTTCATCTTGATAAATCCACACTGAAGTTGAGCTTATTACCTGCCAGTCTAGTGCTCCTTGCCTTGGGTAATTAATATCGACTCAATTTTGGCTCACAACCAACGCTTCACTAGCATAAATTGCAAATATTTCTCATTTCATAAATATCCAAAATATTTGACATTGCTGGCTTTTGGAATGAGGGTCGTCCAGGAAATGCCAGCGGGCACAAGTTGAAGAGTAAGAATTTTCTAGGAGAGAGAGAGAGAGTGTATATGTGGAGGGGAAAACTTAAATCAAAGGCCAGAATATGCATTACATTTTTAATTGCTTTCAGAGGAGGTAGGGGGTGTGGGATTTGATAGTTTGATGGTGGAAAGAAGGGATATATGAGCTGGTATCTGGGTAAGCATATTGCATTCCAATCATATTGGTTCTGCCGGAGGAGAAGCATGGAAAAAGTTTGATCATTTTTAATTAAGAAAATTCATTTTCATATGGCTTTAAAAATCAAACTGCAAGTAACAAGTTTAGCAACATTTTAAAACTGAGAATTAAGTTTTAGTTTGTTAAGGGAATGATACGGATAACTAATTCGAGGTTTTTTATACTTAAAAAGATTTTCTACAGATTACAAAGTGTTAAAAATTTTTAAAAATTCAGCTGAAAACGAAATTTAAGACTCTTTTAAGACGTCTGATTTTTTTTTTAGCCCGAAATAAGGAATAAAGAATCTAAAGTCTTGTCTGTGGCTATACTTATTTTTTGTTTATTAATTTTTTAATATATTAAATTTTTTTTAATAAGGGAAAATAATAATAAATTATAAAAATAAATAATAAAAATAAATAATAAAAATAAATAATAAAAATAAATAATAAAAATAAATAACAAAAATAAATAATAAAAATAAATAATAAAAATAAATAAAAAAATAAATAAAAAAATAATAATAAATAAATTAAAATTTTAAAGGTTAAAATATTGGAAAAGATTATCTTGTTCATTGTACTCAAGAATATAAATTTAAATTTTAAAAATGTTAAAAAGGTTTTTAACACATTTTTTCTTTTACAAATATTCCCTAAATTAAGAATTAAATTTAAAAACATTTTCTACAAACTCTACAAACTTCTTAAATTAGAACGAAATATTTTAGAAAACATCCCCCTGTTTTCCCCTAAATCTGAACCCCCAAAACTTTTCGCTTTATTTATTTAGTAAAGTTTAGTTAGTTTTGACCGTAAACCAAATCTCTGCCTTAAGACACTTTTTGCCATAATAAAAGTTCAATAGTACTTTTTTTTACCCCTCTCTCTCAAGTAAAAACTTTATCCTAGTGCAGCTACCACCAACCCACATCTAATCCAAAAAAGTTTTGTGTAATTTTCACCAAATTTCCTTTTGCCACCGCAGAGTTCTTGTTCCATGCAAATAAATTGCAGCTACTACGCTTTAACTAAAAAACAATTTCCATAAAATGTTCCCTGCCTGTGTGTATATGTGTGTGTGTGAAAATCCTGGACAATCCCCAGGACATTTATCAACCGAGACCGACCAGGAGGTAGCTTATTATTCTCTGGGCAACGTTTTCATGGGCAAAATGCGGAAATTTTAATTAAGGCCTGCGATGGTCGATGGCTGGGCTCTTGTGCTCCACTCACCACTAAATCTCAAATGTCAATGAGCTGTGGTCACCGAATTTCCCCTCATTTTGAAAGCCATTATTTTAGGCAAGGTGGAAGTGCCAGAGGCAGGTGTGTGTACGAGGGAAATCCCAGCTCAGAGAGCAAACTCCCTGGAAATATGATAAATTATAAGGAAAATTTTTCGCAAACTCCTGAAAATTACGCATTAAATCATGCGGTATGCGAGGAAAAACTGAAAAATCTAAGGGAGCTGGGTGGGGGAAGGGGGGTGAACCCCCAAAGGGTTAAGCACTGCCAAGTCATTGTATAGTTTACGACTGAGATTTTGCCCCTGGTTTTTCCAGGGGATGAATTTTATCGCTCGCATGAGTACTGCATTTTTATTACATTTTTATATATATCTTTTTTGTGTTTTATTTTGCAAACAAAAAAGAAAAAAAGAAAAAAGAATGCATATAAAAGGGGACAATAAGAATATTTGTATGTTTCCTCTGGTGGTCACGTCTGGTTTTTGTGATAATGCTCTCTGGCTCGTAAATTCGGGCAAACAAACTGCAATTGCACAAGGTGAAGCCTCCCCGTTGGAATATTCATTTGCCACCCACTTTGGGCTATTTTGTATTTGGTATTTTCATTATTATGACCCCTGGGCCAGGTGTGTGTGTTGGCTTTGAGTTGGCTTTTCCGTCTTGGCACATATTTCATGGCTATGATTTACTCCATTGTTCAGGGCCGTTGGCCACCATCAACCGCACACACAGCTCAAGCAGAACAAGTGCCCAGTTTTTCGGCAACGCCCTCCCCCTTAAGCCCCCTAACCCTCCCCCCAAGCTGACTCTGCCACATCATCATCATCATCATCATCATCGAAACGGAATGTTTGTTTTGGCCCGTTTTTGGGAGTCTAACTCAGGTCGGGTCAAAACTATAGTTGAGACATGAACCTAATTTACTGGCTGAGTGCCTTTCATGCTTTTGGCCTTTTTTGCAAAGAGCCAGGAATTTCCAAATGTCTTTATTTAGTTAACGTTTCGTTTCCATTGGAAAAGCTTTTCTATAAGACCAAGGAAGATATAAGAAGACGATAAGGATTTAAGGGGAGGTTTTCTTTAAATAAATGTTAAGTTTAGTTAAAGAATTTGAAAGAATTTGAACCCAAAACCTTACTTCATCAAATCGTCTAAACTTTATAACCAAAATCCAAGCATTTTTCTTGACCAGCTTATAACGAACCCAAACCACAAGTTTGAATATGGCTTCCTTAACAACACTTGCCACTCTACAATACTTGGTCCTTTAATTGCTCAAGGTTTTGGGTTACAAAATTTGTTGCTTGGTTAATTGCCAGACAACCTGGTTGTCCTTTTTGACCCGCCAAACAGAATCTCAATCGATGTGAGAATATATCCGGGGGTTCAAAAAGCCTTCGTTAACGTCTTACTAATTGCCAGTGAGAAGGATGCCCCCAGGAGTGAACAGTTTACGCCTTTTTATCAGTCACTCGATGCGACCAGGATGTGTGCTTGAGCATCCTTTGGGCCACTCTGTTCGTTTTTAATGAAGGCTCATCATCAACATTGAAGAGAGGCAGAGGTAGTGAGTGGGTCTGCCAATTACTTAGTCATTGCAGCCATTAGGGGACCCCCAAACAGTTTTGTAGTGGATAATTGACCCTTCTACCGCCAGTGCTTGGCCACAGTGGTGCGCGCTCTTAACAGATTCGCCTCCTTGGGATCCTTGATGCAGCCAACACAATCGCCTGGCGTGGACTCTTTCTCGTCGTCACCGTTCTCCTCCAGGCAGGTAAGCTGATGCTTTTCCATTTTGGGATCATAGCAGATATTGTGGCGCCAAAAGGAGGCGGTTAAATCAAAGTCCACCTCATTGATGGGCGCCGGCATGCAGATGACCAGAATCTTGTCGCGTCCCTTTTTCGAGAGCTCAGCATCCTTGCTCATAGTGATGAGGACATCCGTGTAGTCATTTGGCTTTAGGACACCCCAGCGGGGACGCATACTAAAGCGGCCATAAACTGTGCTTTGTAGCTGTGAATTTATTAGGTTTTAGTGTCGTTTTTTTTTAAATTTTCCTAAAAGAAAATCTCACCTTAAAAGTCACATCTACTTTTGAAACATTGGTTAGCGTAATTTCTTGAGTTTTTTTCGTTTTGGAAAATTTCAAGGTTCCAGGTGATGATACTTCAAGTAATTTTTTGTCCATTTTTGTAATTTGAAATTATTAATCTTTTAGACCCAACAAAATTTTTACAAATTCTACCAGAAAAGAACCTAAAATTTGCATTAAGGGGGGGGTAAGGTTAATTCGGTGCAAAAATGCCCACTTTTCAAAAAAATGTTGTGGCGAAACGGCTAAAGCTAGCTTAACGAATTAAATACCATATAATAACACAACATTTGAACAGTTTGTGATAAATTTTGTATTGAAAAATATTTAGAGGTAGAGGAGTTATAGGGAATCTCCCGAGTCGCCTCCAAAAAAAGTTGGTTTGCGGTGTACATCCTAACTGTCCACAGAATCATCCGATCTACAAAAATTATACCTCATTCGTTAAAGGATAAGTGTCCCGAGGTATTCTCGAAGCGTTTTTATTTTTAAAATTTTTTTCCCTATTTTTTTATCAAAATTTGAAGTCAAAACCCCGATATTTGACTAAAAAATTAAGTTAATTTGTTAAATAAAAAATATAAGAAAATTAAAAATTAAAAAAAGCTCGACGAGAATACCTGTAGAATTATCTAAAGAAGTTATGTTCCAAATTTCAAACCGATTGGTTCAGTATATTTTTAGTTATCGTGTACACCGATTTTCAAAATGGCATTTTTCAGGAGAGCGCTTTAAACTTTGTGATTCTCATGCATTGAACACCAACCGACCTTCGTTCAGCTCCGCATAACTTCGTCAATTTTACTATGATTGATGTAAAACTTGGACACAATATTCTTAAGATATTGAACTTTTAAAATAAAAAATAAAAAAAAATTTACAAAAAAAAAAATTAAATACCTTACCCCCCCCTTAAAACTTCTTTTTTTCGAAAAAGACCAAAATAGAAAAATTATTAAAAATATGGTTAGACCCAGACAGTAAGAAACCTACTAATTTAGGATTTTGTTAATATAAAAAGGTGATTTCTAGTGAAAAGCCTGCTGTCTAAGGAAATATTTTTTTTAAATCTTAAAGAAAACTTAATAAATTTGAATTTTTATTAAAGAAAACTCCTTTAAGAACTCTTTCTTTCCAGAAATCTCTTAAGGAAGTATTAAATCTAACCTGTTGCCTTAAAAACCCAACCCAAAAGTACCCTCAAGTTCCCGATTCCTTTCATATTTAGCCATAATAATTACCCTTAGGCAGCCGCATTGCGGAGGCTCCTTTACACACAATTGACCCCGAATAAATGTCTGTGTCTGTGTGTGTGTGGGACCACGTATTAATTACATTTCAACGGTCGCCGCTCAAGCAAATCAGAAAAGCCCAGACTACAATCAACATTTACAGCCAACAATTTGCTTTCAAAACAACAAAAGGGGGGAAACAATGGTTCCCACATGAGGCATCGGGCATGGGCATGGACTTGGGCATTGCAGAGGCTTCGCAATCCTTGGCCAGTCGAGCATTTTGAGCTTAGCCGGCGCTTAGGCTAAATGACCAACCAGCAGGTGGTGGTGGCGGCACTAGTCCCAGTAACCAGTAGCCAGTGCCCAGTGACCGTTTGGCAGCAGTAACAACAATAAGCTGTAGAATTAATTGATTTACAAGTGTGAAAATGCGCAAAACTAGTGGCCAGTAGTAGTACTAGGCCATAACAATAACGCTCTCACGGAATGGAAATGAATGAAATGAAAACGTAGCGTAAGAATGAGCATTTAGTTTTAGCTTAGCTCTTTTTTGTATGGCATAACAGGGGTGTAAACTACAATCCGCTTAACGGTAATTGCTCTACAACGCCCACATCCTGAAAAGAAAAAACCCTTTAATCTACAGGGAGGGAAAAAATCCTAAATATTTATAAATATTTTGTTTACTAAAAATGTATATCGAGAGAAAAATACGATAAAATCCACGTATATTATCGAAAATATCGTTAACTTTGATATATAGGATTTTTAAGTATCGAAAAATATCGAAAATTATCGATTAATAAATAAAATATGAATATACAGCTTAATTTAATAATCTCAATTCAACTTTGACTTAATAAATAATGATATTAATATTAATTATTAAATAAATAAATATAAAAGTATATAAAAATATATTAATATATAAAATTATAAATATTTTTTTAATAATAATAAAAATATAATAATATTGCAGTATTATTTTAAATTTATTTAATATTATAAAAAAAATATTTATTATTTTTAAATATTAATTTATTTTTATATTAATTTTTTTTATATTAATTTTTTTTATATTAATTTTTTTATATTTATTTATATATTATTTATGATTTATAAATCCACTAAAAATCTTATGAAAATTTCCCTCAGTGCCTTTTCCTATTTTGTCGCGTGCTCTTTAAAGCTTAGTTAATGGGGCCCTTCGGCCACGCCCACTTCCTGCACCTGCTACATCCATAAATTGCGTGTAATTTTGGATTTCTTGCCGTTTGAATGCTCGCCGAAGCTCATTTATATTTCATAAACCCGAAAGGGAGGCAATAGAAAAACGAAGGAGGAGAAGGTGGCCACCTTCCAGTAGGTGGCCGGAAGTGAGCTTTTGTTTTTCAGCCGTTAGTTCCTTCCGCTTGGACTGCCTGTTTATTTGCCTACGTTCTAGGCTCTACGTTCTAACATTTTTGTTGTGCTTTGTTTAGGTTTTGTTTTCTTTTTGTTTGACTTGTGTTTGTTTGGGCCTTTTCTCTGCAAGGCAATTTAATAAGCGTCTTGGGCCTTGCGTGCTATATTTTTTCCCGACTAAATCGGCCTATATAGTGTGCCGCCTTAAAGGTTTCCCGAAAGGTGTTGTACACATTGATTGGCTTAGAGGGTTGTCTTTTGCTTTCTGGCTTGATTTATTGTTCACCTTCGTTGGGTGTGTCTGCTTGGGCGTGGCCAGGACAAATATAGTTGGCTTTGATTGCATTTAATGTCTAAGCGCAAATCAATCAAAGGCAACAACAACAATGACAACAACAACAGCGACAGTCACACGAATAGAGTCTCAATTTCGCCTGCAATCGCTGCAATCATGAGAGTCGTTTATTTGTTGCAAAATCACAGCTCCGAAAATCGCTGTTCAATTGCTGTCTGACTTTTTGGGGGTAATTCAATACAGACAAGTGAACTCGACTTTTATAAGAGACACAGGGAGAAAAAATTACTTGATTTTATAAGCTTTAAAGCGTAAATTGGGTGTGCAAGATTCTTGTATACTAAAAAGGTAATTTTTTTAAGGTTCTTGTTAATGAGTTTCTTAGTTTTTGAACGAAATTGTAGTCATTTAAATATTTTTATACCCTTGCAGGGTATTATAATTTCAGTCAGAAGTTTGCACCGCAGTGAAGGAGACGTTTCCGACCCTATAAACTATATATATTCTTGATCAGCATCAACATCCGAGTCGATCTAGCCATGTCCGTCTGTCCGTCTGTCCGTCTGTCCATCTGTCCGTCTGTCCGTTTCTACGCAAACTAGTCCCTCAGTTTTAAAACTATCTGAATGAAACTTTGCATATAGTCTTCTATATACTCTCACTGCTATATATGTCGGAACGGGCCGGATCGGACGACTATATCATATAGCTGCCATACAAATGTTCGATAAATTTTTAGAAAAATAATTATAACTTTGCTGTTTTTCAACATTTTTGCTCCATTTTTTAGATATGGCCATTTTATATTATTTCTGAATTTTGATAAAAATTTTATAAAAATCGGACGACTATAAGATATAGCTGCCATAGAAACGATCGGGAAATAAATAGGAAAAAAATTATTGCTTCGTTGTTTTTTAACGTATTTTTATCTACTCTAAGATATAAGCTTTTTTTATTATTATAAAATTTTGGTATAAATTTTACGAAAATCGGACAACTATATCATATAGCTGCCATAGAAGCGATCGGTAAATGTAGAGAAAATATAAAGCTAGGAATGTGAAACTGTAACTGTCAAACTGTAAACATAATAAGTATAGGTAAAATATAATGAAACTCTGTTTTGTGTGTGTCTTCAGCATTAGAATTTATAATATAAATATCAAAACCAATCTGCAAGGGTATACAAACTTCGGCGTGCCGAAGTTAGCGTCCTTTCTTGTTTTAAAGCTTGATTTTATAATTAAGGAATTCTAAGAAAGTCAAATTTTAAGTCAGAAGACAGTAAATCAAATAAAATACATTTTAAAGTCGAGATTTTCTTTAGTTTTAGCTCAAAACAACCAAAAGAAAAATGTGAAAAATCTTAAATAATATTTAAAAAATGTAATAACAAATTTCTCTCAGTGCCACCATCTTCTTAAGATATATAGAAAGCTCCTAGCTCTTGTGTGTTTGCACTGTAATGTAATATTTCTCCCTTGATTGCTGTGCTACTTGGTTGAATTGGCTTTTAGAGTTTTCTACTTCATCATTCGATGTAATCGATGTTGAGCCACTCGATAATCGCTGTCCAATTAAAAGAGAGAGAGAGAAAACTTGGGAAAATTTATGCATTTGCAGATCAAAACATGAAAGTCTACAAATACATATATTTTTTATTTTTGCCAGAGTCTCGCATCATTTCAAAAGCCAGCCATTGCTGCAGCCCTTTGGACACGCTTTCGTGATGCTTGTTAGCCCATGAAAGAAGCCACATCAAAATAATATATATATGTATTTATGTAGTATATATGCTTGTTTAAAAAATATATAAAAGTAAAGTTTGCCTTCACATTATTTGATGTTGCGCCAATTGACAGGGCCTTTAATTTCTGGTTGCCGCTCTTTTCTTTTTATATTTTTTTTGTAAATTTTTTTGTATATTTTTTTTTTTATTTCCTTTGGTCTTGTCAACGCATCTTCTGGCTGCCATAATTCAAGTCTCTTCTGTCTGTTGGTGGCACGCCGTTTGCATAGCCAAACATTTGCTTTTAAATAAAAATGTATTTGCGAGTGCTCGTTTTTTGCCTCGTTTATTGACAAGTTGAAAGAAACGTGAAGATCTTGGCGTTTTTTTGTTTTGTTTTTCTTTGCGCTTGGGATATTTGTCTTCATTTATTTTTATTGATTTTTCTGGTACTGCTGATTTAGTACCTATATATATACGTATATATCTAGTGAGTGGTCAATGGCCAATTTCGTTTTCATTTAAGCCAAGCCAGTGAATAATCACAATGCATTTATCTATCGACCTTTTCGCACACACTTTCCCCATCTCCAACAGTAGCTTTTCAATTATTTAATTTTCCGCTCACGTTTTTGTTAGTTTTTCACGTAGTTTTTCATTGGCCCTTCAGGCTAAATGCGACAAAAGGAAAATCCAAACGAAATTTGGCGATAAAAATCGTCTTTTGAAAAGAAGTTAGGAGAAAAGAGAGGAGAGGAGCCAAAGCAAAGCCCAAAGTGCATCTTCAACTTGGAGGCGGCGACATTCTCACGTTTCCATTGGCATTAAGGTTTTAGTTGATCGCCTTCGCCATTTAAAGGGGGTGCAGGTAGACATAGCTTCAGGGGGGTATACTGAGAGTAAAAATAATTCAATTAGGAAATTAAAATTAGAAGAAATGAATTATGTAGATTTTATATATTTTTTATATATTTTTTTATATATTTTTTATATATTTTTTATATAGTTTTTATATATTTTTTATATATTTTGTATATATTTTTTATATATTTTATATATATATTTTTTATATAGTTTTTGTATATATATTTTTTATATTTTTTAAATTCCATCCCTTATTTTCTATATATATTTTTCTCAGTGCCTTGTGTGGGTGTGTGTGCTACTTGTACCCATCCTCCCCATTCACTCGCTTCATGCTTGATTTGGCAAAAGCTGCAAGGCAATTGATGACAGCCTCGGAGTTGTTGGAGTTTCGACTGTGGGTTAGGCAGCATAAATTCCATTTAAATGGCAAACCAGTCCTCCTCAGCTGCATCATGATGATGCATCTACCAACTTCTTCTTCGTCTTGAGCCATTAACAACTAGGGAAAACGGCAAATGTGGGCAGCCCAGTGACACACTAAAGTGGCACCTAAGAAAGCACTAAACAATCTGCAGTTGTTTTTGTTTTTCCTATTTCTTTTTATATATATAAGAAAAAAGTATAGGCTGCACTAGGTAACAGAAACCGCATTTAAATGCTGGGCCTCAGTACAAGTTTCGCTTTTTGGTTTCCTCTTCTGCAGCAGATGCAACGACCGACTGAGTTCTCCCCCTGCCCCATACCCTCCTCCTATATCCCGATTTTAGCCGGTTTTATGGCTTTGGCCAAGCCAGCCTAGGGCCATCTATTCTCTCTACATTTCTTCTTTTTTTTTGGTTGGGTTTTCAGCTGGCAAACGTTTTGCCAGAGAGTTTTTGTTGTGGATATTGCTGGTTGCTGGGTGCTGTAGGCACCTGCATTTGACGTTTCGTTTCGAGTTTACCGCTTTGCAGTGGCAGTTTTCCACTGCTAACCTGGTCAGTTATTGCCCAGCGCTCCAGGTCGCCATGTCGAGGTCGTAATTTCATTCAAAAACTTTGGGGTTACAGTGCGTTTAGTAAGCTTAAAGTTGATAAGGGGAAAGAGGTTGGTGAACTAGGGAAAAACAGAGTATTTTTCGGGTGAAGATTGTGGTTTGAAAAGCCAATATCTGAAATACCTTTAAATTAGTTCTTTATTGAAGTATTCTTTTTGCTGATCATCTATCTGCATCATAGTCAATAATAAGATAATTAATTCCCCAAATAACCCATAATAAATCCTGTAAACTGCCAAGTTTATACCAGAAAATCACTTAGTTTCAATTGTTCTTCTCATTACCATAAAATCCTAGGAAAATCAGACAGTTTATGAAATCGTTTGGAAATTTGAGCACGATTGAATAGCTACTGTTTCTGTCTGACAATTATCATACAAACACATGTTGGAATAATGAATTTACCGAATTTGCTGAATTTGCCAGGCACACAAAAC